ATAACTTACTTTCAATTTCATTCTTACATCTGACATGTGAATTACTGTCAGATCAAAAATATCACACTTTCCTATCCATAAAAAACATTTCTCAAACAGAATTCACCTCTCTTTGGTTAGAATCTCAAAATGTAAGCGCTGTCAGTTTCCATACTTTGTGAGAGAATATTCATCACCAAATTAGGTTAATATTTTAGCTATTGGATTATCTTTATTATTAATTCTTTTAAAATGTATTCCATTACAAATGTACTGAAATAAGCAAATATAAATAATTTATTTATCAGTTATTTAAGTGTGTACATATTGTGCATTCTTATTATTATTTAGTCATGGAAAATAAATGGTTGGTTGTGATAGAATCTTGGCTCTTTTTAGTAGAAATTTGAAATAGCGAATTTTAATTCTTTACTGATTAATGTAAAATTCAGGCTTCTCAAGAAACGAAATTAACGGTTGATAAATTATTTTAGGAATTTTAGAATGGATTATTTTATATTCAAAATTGATTTTCGCTTGGAAATATTTTATTGAAAATATTAAATAAAGTTAAATGTTTGATGAAAATCGAAGAATCATTGCGCTACAACAATGCAAAATTAATGAAAAAATTTGGATTCTGAATTTTTGACAGATTCTAATACAATTTTTTTTAAATTAAATTCTGAAACCAAAATATTACAGTGCATCAAGCAAAACAAATCCCTTAGCAATTCAAGTTCCTCCAGGAACTGTCATTGAAGGACGATTCTTGCTTGAAACAATTGCTATGGGTCGGTACAGTACTGTATTTCGAGTTGAAGATATTCTTGATGATCGACAAAAATACTGTCTTAAAGTGATTTTTTTTTAAAACTTATTCTCAAAAATTAGCATACTTTAAAGGATTACTGATTGATGAAATTTTGCAAACTTCAAAGTTTTTAAACTGTGGATATAATGTAATTGATAAAATTGAACTTAATAACTAATTTATAATATTTATTACTTAAAGAAACCATTTTGTATTTTAATATTTATCGCTGTGCTTAATATTAAGATATTTGACTAGAACTATTTTTGAATATAATATAAAAAGCATTAATTCAACTTAAGCAATTTATGATTGCATGAAACGCCATTTTAAGTTTTGGTAAATTACAAAAAAATTTTTGTAATTTTTTATACGAATTTCTTTCCTTGTATATTCAAGGCAGAATATGATCGAGCATCAAAAGTCAACTATTTACATCAAGAAATTGCTGTACTACATAAGCTAGCCGAACGTAAACACATGGCAAGGCTATTTTACTGCGAACGATGTGACCCAGTGAGTTCGATTCGAAATTTTACAGATATAAGTTTTTTAAACTGTAGGTCAAAGTTGACGAAAAATAATAACCAGAAAATCTTTTATTTTTTTAAATAGAAACTAACTCTAATTGACATTTAAAAAATAGTATGAATTATATACATCAAAATATGCCTTACAACTTTTATATGCATAATATCATTGCATTAGTAACCCTTTTCTAGATATATTTTTGTAAACCTAAGCATTAGGTTTACAAAAAGGTCAAGCTGTGATTGATCAAATGATTGCTTTTTTTAGCAATTAAGCAAATTATTTTCATGTTAATGCACAATTTTATAATATCCTTTTATATCTGAAACTATAATTATATTTGATTTAGTTTTCATTCATGTTAATTACATTATTTGGCAAAAGTATTTGGATTCTGCGACAAAATCTGCCTAATCACTTGGTCTCACCGGGATGCGCTGCTCGAATAGCTGTGCATACACTTTATCAAATTAAACAGATACATGAAATTGGTTTTATTCTGCGCGATTTAAAAATTGGTTACTGAATAAACTGAATAACAATATAAATCCTTATTAATAATACTTGTAGTTGCAAAATAATAATATATCTATTGAAATTTAGCAAATATTAAAAAGATATGCAATTGCATAATAATAATAATTACAACTTTATTGAGAAAACATTCAATTATTAGTACTTAAAACATTATAATACAGGGGATATGTTGGTTGGATTACATGGTAGAGCAACAAAAATGGTATTTTTGGTGGATTTTGGAATGTGTAGAACGTACATTCGAAAAGAAAACGATGGAACCGTAGCAATTAGACCGCCACGTGAAAAGGCGTTTATTCGTGGTGTACTTAGGTACAAATTGAAGTTTTAGCATTAAACTCCATCAATTTTACTTGAACTAATATTTAGAAACTTTATTTTGACCTAATTTAGAATTTAATGAGAAAAGCACTTTAGACAGAATAAAACTGAATAAAAATTATACTAAATATATAATTGAATAACAGTTTTTAATTAATCTTACTATATTTGTGACGAGAATAATTTCATTCTTCAATTTGTTCTATTCTGAAAGATAAGACTTAATTTAGTCCTCATAGCTTAGCAAGATTTAAAAGCATTGTTTATCTAAGATACTGTTCGCCAAGAGTGCACAAACGACTCGATGTCTGTAGAGCGGATGACTTGTGGTCACTTGTTTATGTTCTGATAGATTTGACGGCTGGACTTCCATGGCGACAAATGAAAGTAAGAAATAAAAAATGTTGATTGCAGAAGAGATATATACTCATACTTGATTTAATCAGTTAATCAGTTAAATGTTAGCACGATAGTAAGTCTTGCATTGGATTTGTTATGTACTGACGAAGAATTCAATTAAAAAATTTAGATGAAAAAAGCGATACAAATTTGATAATAAAATAAAAACAAATGAGTAAATTTTAAAGGTGAAAAAAATTATGTAAATCTTAGCAAATTTTTTAATCTTATAAGGATACTGAATGATCTGAAATTGACTAGCTGCACAGAAGTATTCATTTTGCAGCTAGAAGCATCTGTAGCAGAACGGAAAGAAAATATAAGTATGAGTGAATTATTTAAAAACTGTCCAGAAAATTGGATTCAAATAATGGAACACATTCAGTCATTAAGTTATGAATCACGTCCTGATTACAAGTTTATCTACGATTGTCTGCAAGCTACACTTGTACAACTTCAAGTTTCTTATTCAGATCCGTGGGATTGGGACCTTGTTGTGCGTTCAATTTCAAATTTTTACGCTAATACTTTAATTTTTTCAGTTCTAAATATTATCCATAAGTTATGAATTATTGATTAGAGCTATGTTATTTTTGTATTTTTTTTAGCTTATTTTAATTTAAAAATTTTCTTACTGCCAGTTTTCTTAATTTCAATAACATTATAATTTTATATTTTTAATGACAATAATTGGCAAATATATTTTGAGTTATAATAAATTGTAAGTTAAAAAAAACAGTACACTGTGCAGAATTAAACAAGTTTTGTAGTAATTGTTTTTCATCTTCCTATTTTTAGATATGATTTAAAATTTTAAACAACTCTACGAACAAAGAATTAATAAATCACTTCAGTATTTATTAACAGGGTGAGAATGTCATATTAGAAGCAAATTCAGTACAAGAAACTGAAGCAATATCACGATCTCATTCTGATCGAACTGATCAGGAATTGCAAACTGATCGAGATGAATGCAGTTTAAATATAGATCAAGTAGGGAACTTAAAGGTTTCAAAATTATTTCACATTAAGTATTCTGAAAGCTTAAAAATGATATATTAGTAAAAATGTTTTTGAGGATAAATTTGAAAGTTTGCATATATCTTTTCAGTTTTATAAAAAATCAAATTTTTGTTCATTTTTAGTTAATTCTTTTTTTCAAAATATTTTGCAGTCAGAAGCAGATAAGCAGATTAATGATGCCTCACAAGTTAGGAATCCATTAAAGGATATTGTTAACATATTGCAAAAATCGTCTTATCGCGCATCAATAATACAAAATAATTCAAAATCTCCTACCGTACCAGTAAGCATATTTTATATTTTTGTTCAAATTTATTACTATTTTATGCATTTTGTAGTAGTAATGTTGAAGAAGTTTTACATGATATCATATTTCAAAATCATTTTTTTTTCAAAAACTTTAATTTTTTAAGATTCAAAAACAAAGTCGAATCATAGCAAGTGAATATGATCCAGCATTTCCAACTACAAATCCGCAAGAATTCGAAAACAATGATATTGGAATTTGAGCAAATAATTAATAATTAATTTGTGATTAAATGACTGATAATGAATGCTGTTTACGATAAGTAATTATTTATGATCGGTTTCAAATTTGACATCGGTCAAATTCATTTCGATGCCACTATAATTTTATGGAATCAGTAATATGTACAAGTTAATTTCTTAATTGTATCTCAGTGCTATCTACCATTCAAAATTATTGAAAACATTACTTTCTTTATTATATTCAACAAATTTTAGCATTTCGTTTTTCGCTGTTTTTTTTTAAAGTTATTTTTGAGTGACTTGCTAGTTTGTGGTATATGCATAAATGATCTATCATATCATTAGTTTTTTGAATGAAATTCTATCTATTTCAGCTGGAATGTTCACAAAATGCATGATAAGGCATCAAAGCAATTAAGAATCTCACAAAATAAGCATTATTATATTTCTAAAGAAATGAAAGATAATTAAAAAATTAATATTTTTTTCAAAAATAATCCTGATAATTTTGGCATAGCTCAAATTTGATTCACAATCCTTGAAATTTACCATTTAAAAGTTTCTTTTTTCAAAAATTTTTAACATATACAAAAATTAAGTGTTGATTAAAATGCGCGTATAATTATAATTATTATTACTATTATTTCGATAAATTTAAAATGTGGAGGTTAGTTTTAATTCTCGCTCTTCATTGGTTCTGACGCTGGATCGCATTCCGTCACTCTGGCAGTACTTGTCTCGCGCTCAGGTTTGTTGCACTCATCGTTCTCACTTCGTCCTCGTAGAATCCATATCGACTGTCGAAGGAAATGCTTTTGAGCGTCCTCTTGAGAACTATCGATTGGATGTATGCCTCGACGTGGTCTTCGCATAGCGTTTGTGGAAGTTCGTTACAATTACACCCAAAGTCATCACATACGGAATTATTTTGGTCCTGCATTTCATCTCTGACTCAAGCTTATTAGCATTCTCATTTGAGACGACCTCCTGAACAGAATGGCTTCGCAAGCGCAGGAATGCTTTCAGACCATACTTCCAGCAGAGTTTCAAGTGGATGCATCATAGGATTTCATTGTATCTTCCAGTATAGTCGTGATGCAACATTTTTTCGCACTGCATTGCTAGATGGTTCACCGTCTTTACATGTTTCCCAGAATGTTGGCACATACCTTAATCATTATCATCAATGATCTTTTCAATTATTATCATTATCAATCTTTTTTTTCAAGCAGTATTAACGACAGTAATAATATAGAGAAGTTAACCATGTCAATTATCTCTTATCAATAAATCAATAAAAGTGGTTATTACTATCAACGAAAACTTTTGAAAGTTAAAAAGTGAAGTTTCGACTTTAATTGTTGCTTATGTCTATTTACTTATTTTGCATAAATATCAAAATTGGAATAAATTAAGCTTATTAGAGTAATCAAAATTTAGATTGATTTTTTACTTACTGCCCTTAATTATGATAAATATGTTGCAGATTGATAGGAATAAACATTCATGATAAAATTTTAGTTATTGATGTAATGTAGTGAGTATTAATATTTAAAGAATTAATTAAGCAATAAATAGTAAATAATAGTAAGTAAAAAGCATTTAATGATAAAAATTGTATAAATAAAATTTGATATGCAATGGCATGCGATTTGTAGTGTTTCTGTGTTGGTAACTCGAACCTTTCCAGTAACTCTTCTTTCTAGGTGTCCAAACTGAGATCGGTAAACAGGTAAGAAGTGTTGTTGGATGATTTATTGATTGATAAATAGGTAAGAAAGTAGATAGCATGTCAGAACTAATCACTAAAATACATCAAAGCTATTCACTTTTTATTTCCGCATTGTGTGATGAGGAAAAAAGAAAAATTGCGTTGAAACAGTTGAATATTGTAGAACGGATATGGTTTTTTCGAAAAAAATGGTAATTATCCTCCGTATTAGTGTTCAATGAAAACAATCAGTAACAGGCAAACTTTGTTAATTCATCCAATTTAAAGCTTTCCTCGAGAATACTTTCTATAAATTTTGAATCACTCGTACATTTCTTGAATTTGTTATATTCTTTGTATGCATTTCTGACGTTTGCTAGTTTCTTTTTATCTTATTGTTTATATTAATAAAAGGACTGTGTTTGCATTCAAAATTATATTCAAAAAGTTGTAATGTACAAATAATCGCAGCTGCTCACACATTACAGTACAGTACAGTACTGTGAAATACAAATCTCAAAGGCGTTATGTATGTCACTGCATACTACAATGCTAAAAATGTGAATGTGTACTTCTCTTTTTAATTTCTAGATTTAATATTTTTGCATATGCATAAGTTTCTATAATCAATTTTTTGTACCTCTTAAAAAGAAATACAAAAAATTTTAGTTCGCTATAAATAGCTGATTTTTATTGCTAGTTTTATAGTTGTGGTTATCAATATTACTTTGTTAAAATTAGTATTTGATCAGTTTATCAATACTATTAGGTGAACTTAGCACTAGTTAAGCTGTAATCTGCACCTGACTTTAGTAATATTTATTTAAACACATATCGATTTTAAGTCTGAACTTTGCTTCTAACGTTTATGACCTCTGTGGCATCCAGATGCCAAATGATACACTAAAATTGTTACTACAGCAGTATCGCAATTAAATGAACAACACGCTTCGAAACTGAAAATCCTTCTGATAATAAGTAGCTTAAGATATGATCTCCATCACAGGAGTTCCAAGAAATATTTGTATAATTATGAAAAATGCAATATCTACGTATCTGCTATGCTTAATGTATTGTGATTAGATAACTCAGTAGCTCATAGTTTCTCAGACTATTACATACTTCGTTTATGCTTACTTTTATTATAGAGTAAGTTATCGTACTGGCAGAGGTACTCAGTCGATGTGAGCTTTGACCTTTTTCTATTACTGTTATTTTGTAGTGTATGCACGGCACACTGCAATTACGATGTATGCGCAGCTAATTGAAGTCAGTCATGTACAGTTATGCCATTCTTCAGCAGAGTATTTGTTTCTATTCCCTCTTCCTTCTTTAACATTGGTCTTCCTTAAATGTCAAACAAATGATTGCACGTTAGTTCAAGTACAGATTACGTGTGCCATAAGGTCATATGTACACCACTCAAAATTGCGCTGTTTGTCACTCCTCCTTATTGCAGTATAAAATTTATGCAGAACCAAACAAACATAATATGTATTATTAACATTTGCTAAAAGTTCTTGCTATGCTAAGAAATTAGCATTGGAAATTATGTGCTGTACAAAATTTGACACACTTTTATTTTATATTCTTGCAAATCATGGTTTTAAAACATTTTTAAATTGATTTCGCGAACTAAACAATGCTTAAAGTCAGCACGAAACATTATGTCTTCTATTGCTAGTTTTCAATGAAATTACGGTATCGAGAAAAGTCTTGCATACTTTAATAAAAATTAATCCAGCACTGCGTGTAGTTAGTACTCTCGTTCACGTGTTCAATGCCTTATTCATTTATGTGACATGACATCCTTATATTACTTTTACTGTGCTATTGTCGATATTAAGGCGCTACTTTATCAATTCTTCCTTTACTCCATTTTCTCATATTTTTTTCAATCTTACCTATACATTTTAAAATTTTGAAAACGTGTTCAAGCTTGCCATCTATTATATCTGTCACACTATACATTTTATTTATTATGCTTTTATTATCTCATCTAATTTGTGTGCGTGTATTTACACATATTGCGTGAAAGTTAACACTATATTATAATGATTAAAAAGGATTTTCATTATGTTGATTAGCATATAAGCATTTTGATTTATTAATTAAAATATTTTCTACATGCAAATTCAAAAAATATCGCATTTTTCTTGCATTCTGATGCCTATTAGAATCTGCCGAAACTGCATTGATTATCGAGCAAATATCATGCATTGCTATCGTCAAAACTCCAACGGAATTTGATTTTATCCATTTTTGCTTTCGTCGATCAATAAATGTGTTCATTAACTCATATAAAAAACGTTCTCACTAACTAAACATTCGTTTCTTTTTGTCTGCGACTTCAAATCAACTTTAGTTGTTTTTGAACTACAACTCGTTTGCATCAGTCAGTCTCTTCATGAAATCGTACATAATATCCCTGATTTAAGCCAAAGTGACTGTTGAGTACATTTTGATTCTGCATTAGCTCAAAGTAATAATTGTGATTTGTAGCAAGTGTTTAAGGCTTATAATCATCGCTACAAACAAACAAGTATTTGTCTTTTGTATCTTAAGAGCTTCAAATAAAGCACAACTTATTGGTGGTACAGTTTGTAAAGCAATAGTATTGATGGTACTACTTTTTAAATGTGATCAACACAAAGTCTTTTTCATATTATCGTACAGCAGAGAAGAAAAAATTCATAGGCATGACAAATGATTACACATCGCATTATAAGTTCATAATTATACGAAGATTTCAAAAATTCATGAGACAAAATAATCCAAAGAAAAACTTTAAACTAAATGAAGCAATAATTCTTTCTTGTTTACCAAGTGTTTTAGTTCATAGAATCCCTACAGATATTAATTATTATTTTGAAAATTAAAATATGTTGTTTCTGAACATGATTGAACCAGAAACAATGCATTTGCAGTTTCAGTGCAATCAGCAAATTCAAATCTATAAAGTAATCTGCGGTAATCACAAATTGCATCCTTCTCAGTTCACAACTCTAGCAATGCAAAGGGCTTTTGCACCGAATATTTAATTAGTCCATAAGTTTTGTACCACATTAAATTATTTGCCAGTCTCAATGATTGTCAGTGTATTTTCGTTTTAGTCATTTTATTGTGACTTTTTATGATATGAATAATATCATAAAAAGGGCACTTACTTTTTTAAATGTTTCATTAAAATTATGGATAGTTAGAACGTTTTACGATGCCTTTTCTGTATCTAAATTATTACAAAATGGTTTTCTTAGACAAAATTGATATCTGCAAAGTAATCCAAAATTTGCATGCAAGAACTTTTAATGAATATATATTCAATTGACCGAAGCATAAGTAATGCTTTATAATATTGAACAAACATAGAAAGCAGTAGTCAAAAGGCTCATTTCCTCAATTCACACTAACAATCACTTCATTAAATAATGTTTTCTTTAAGAACGAAATTTGTGAAATTTATATTAAATTTCTCATAAATGTCATTTGCTTACTTCTATTATATACTGCATGAAAGCTGAAAAATATTTTCATTGAATTGAAAAATATGCATTGAAAAATATTTTTATTACGCTGATTAGCATATAAGTGCCTTGACACGGCAGTGTAGTAGATACGTAATGAGTCATTTAAAGTGAAAAATATTAACGTAAATCAAATCTTGAAAAACAATTCACACGCAAGCACAAAACCTAATAATTAGCTTACATTTTTTTGCATTAATAACGCTCTGAATTCAATTATTACTAACGGTAAAGTGAAAAATAAGATTATGCAGCAAAATTAAGAAATGAAAATAGAATTATCATAGTATTTTTGAATGAGAATAGTTTCACTTTCTAACTTGCTTATTGAATATTTTTGATCCATTCAGTTACTGAATCGCAAGCCAATCTCAATTGTTAAAAGTAATCAAGTTTGCAAGTAAATTCATAATAAAATTACCAGTTCAAAATAAAGTTTACTTTCCTTTTTAAGAAATGTCATAAGTTTCAAGCAGTAATGCCAAGTATCAGCGCTGTTTTCTTACTACATGGTCGGTGGTAATAAAACAGTGTTTGCATGTTTGGCATATACTTGTCGTATGTTTTTGTGCAGTTTTTTTGAAACATTTGCTTTGCTGTAAAATTTAGGAATTTCAATTACTTTCATAAATAACACCAAAAAATGTAATTCTTGAAGCAATACTTGAGTGGCATAGATACAATTAATAATATAGTAATACTTATCATTTTGCACTTCAGCCCCTCCATTGAGTTTATATCCCATACTAGCGTTAATATTTATTTCTTATTCTTTAAGGCATATTTTGGAAAAAATCATCAATATATATATAAAAGTTTAAAACTGCATTACATAGTAATACACAGTACTGTCATTTTTTGGAGCGCAGTAATAACGGTATTGAGACATCATTATGAATTTCCAGCACCCTATTATCAATATATTGTTTGTTGTGCTATCCACGATTGTTTTCAAAGTAAATATCTTTGATTTAATTTTCTTGAAACTTTCATGTAGTTGCATTTGCAAAAATAATGGCTTCATGAACTTTTAGAAGTCTAAACACAATGCAATAAAATGTAATCGTCTTCATTCACTCGGAAAACTGATATGCTTGTCAGTATTCAATACT